GCTGAGACCTGGTTTTATAGATAAGTCATTTCTCAGCTAATTTCCACCCTTGGCAGCACAGCACTCCCTCAGAATGGTCCTGGTCTGTCATCTTGATTAGGTAATTAAGTTCAGGATAAGTGACACTGGCGACCTTCTCGACTAGAGACAAAAGAATTCTGCTGCTCCCAGGTAAGAGATGGCAATTCTCATCACCTGAAGGAGGGGGAAACATGCAATTTTAAAAAAAAACGAACCGCTACGGCTGTGCAAAATCTGAAATGAAAGCAGAAAATGCTGCAACACGCTCAGAAGGGCAGGCAGAGAAACAAAGCTAGCATTTCAAAGACCTTTCATCAGCGCTGGACAATGTTAGAGATCAATTCAGTTCAAATAGAGTCCCACGCCAGAACACAGTCATACAGCCGGAAACAGACCTTTTGGTCTAACCTGACATATTTTCCAAACTAGTCCCATTTGCCTGCGTTTGGCCCATATCCCTCTAAACCTTTCCTATTCATGTACCTACCCAAATGTCTTTCAAACGCTCTAACTGTACCTGCATCTACGACACACATCTCCCATGAATGAATTAAAAAAACCCTTGCCCTCTGCCCATTTATCTCCCCTATACCCTCTGCCCCTTGCTCATTTAGAGTCATCCCAAAATGAAAATGTTAGCTCCGTTTAACACAAAGGGCAGGTCTGACATAGGATGGACACTGGGAGCAATTAAAGTGCCAATAGGAATGATAGTGAAAAGGGATGAGACACAAGCAACAAAATGTATGGCTTGGCAATTGTTTTTCATTTTAACCACGGCACGGTGTCTCAGTGGTTAGCACTGCTGCCTCACAGTGCCAGCAACCTGGGTTTGATTCCAGCCTCGGGCGACCGTCTGTGTGGAGTCTGCACATTCTCCCCACGTCTGCGTGAGTTTCCTCCAGGTGCTCCGGTTTCCTCCCACAGTCCAAAGATGTGCAGGCGAGGTGGATTAGCCATGCTAAATTGCCTGTAGATTAGGTGAGTTACAGGGGGATGGGTCTGGTGGGATGCTCTAAGGTTCGGTGTAAACTTGTTGGGCCGAAGGGCCTGTTTCCACACTGTAGGGATTCTATTCTATTTGATTTTAAAATTGTTTTATGTTAAAATAATATTTTTATGACTGCACCTCAAAACCTTTAAATTCAAACTATTAGATAAAATTATCATCATTACCCTGCCTCTTGCTTTTAGCAAGCTTGTAGATTGAAAACAAACACAGAGAATACTGGAGAAGCTCAGCAGATCTGGCAGCATCTGTGGAGAGAGAAACAGTTAAAGCTCTAGAGAGCAGTCATTTGAAACGATATTTTCAGTTGAAGAACCTTTGGAGTTGTCCATGAGAGGTGAGGATCTGCCTTCTTCGCACACCTACCTACACCTTAACTCAAATTTATCCAAAGCCTTGACCAAATAAACAGGAGTTCTGTAGATAGTGAAGTTATACAAGGTCACAGTAACAAGGAGGAAAACACTGACCACCATCTGCAAAGTTTTGCCCAGTTAACGCAGCCCCAGACTGATCCGGAGAAGAGTCACTGGACTCTAAACGTTCCCTCCAAAACTAGAGGGCATAGATTTAAAGCTCAGGGGGGAAAGATTTAAAAGGGACCTAAGGGGCAACTTTTTCATGCAGAGGGCACTGCCAGAGGAAGTGGTGGAGGTTGGTACAATTACAACATTTAAAAGACATCTGGATAGATTTAGAGGGATATGGGCCTAATGCTGGCAAATGGGACCAGATTAGTTTAGAATATTTGGTTGGCCTGGGCAAGTTGGACTGAAGGGTGTTTCCATGCTGTACATCTCTACGACTCTTCACAGATACTATCAGACCCACTAGGTTCTCCAGTGTACTGTTTTTGTGTCAGGCAGGGGCAAGGGTTGGCTTGCGACAGAGCATAAGCATTTACACAAGTTCCCCTTACAATCTGGTGGGAAAGGTTAATTTAATAGTAGCATGACCTGATTCAATACCTGTAACAAAGCACTTTTAAATAGGGTTACATCTATCAATTCAACATGACAGATCTATTATGAGGAGCATTGTGTGTTTGAGATTTTTCAGGAATAAATAACCCTTGGTCTCACCGTCATTAACAATTAGGGTCAAAATTCCAGTCAACAACCAACCGTAAGCTTCATTCCTCAGACGAACATTCCCACCCACCCTTGTTGCCAATTGACAGGCAAAATTATAACTCCTAAGCTTGGAACAAGATCCTGTCTTTCCATTTAAATTTGAAAATGGAGCCACTGTCTGCTGTCTTGGATGGACGTAAATGATCCCAAAGCCCTATTCAAGAATGATCAAAATAGGATCCCCCCCCCGTCTCCTCAGCTGTTTTTATCCCGTAACTTCCACCGATATTGATTATTCTAGTTATTTTCTTGTTGCCATTTCTACCAAACTGGTTGTTACACTCCTTCTGATACAGTAAGAGTCACACATCACTGCTCCAAAGTGCTTAATGGCCATTTTGGAAAGATGCTTTATAAATGCAAGATTCTATTTCCTTTAAACTGGATCAGAAACTTTCATTCCTCCAACATTAACAAAGACTAGTATTTAGATGCGCACTTGCAATGCCAAGGTATATGAGTCTATGGGGGAGGTGCTGAAAAATGAGATAAGAATAGTCAGGTGGTTGCATTTCCTTGGCATGGATGCAACAGGCTGAAGGGCCTGTTTCTGTGTTGCAGACCACACAACACTGAGGTGAAGCACCTCAACTTTTGAACCAGCACATTTCCTCAGGGTGGCTACAGAAATAGAGATAATCGTTTCACAAATTCAGAAGCACATCCTGCTGCTATCCTTTTCCCAACTGGCATATCAGCTATCTTTGTGTGCCCTCAGATTTAGTACTACATGACAGGTGAATAGGTCTGTGCACTGGGACCATATCTCCAAGGAATTAGGTTGAGGCTGTTGCTACTCTCAGCTCCTCTTGGCAGATCTGCTGGCATGGTATGCCACCCTTGTCTGTCTCTGCCACCCTTGTCTGTCTCTGCCATGTTCACTTCTTCACCTGCAACTTCCACTGTCTAACGATACTTGGGTCAATCCCTCTCTCTGTTTTGCCCACTGCTTTACCCTCTGCAACAGACTATTTCAGAAATAAATAAAACCTCAAGCAGTGCAAACAGAACCTTGAAACTGGTGCGTTGGCAGCAACGGAAAAAAAAATTGTATTTTTATAGCGACCTCAGGATTGAGAAAGTACTGTTGAAATTAGGGGAGGTGACAGCCTGGGAGTATTATCGCTGGACTGTTAATCCAGAGACCCTGATAACGTCCCAGGGGCCCAGGTTCAATTATGCACAGAGGGCTAAGCAAAGCAGCAACAGAATGCAAACCAGCATAAAGAAGCAGGAACAAAATGCTTTTGGAAAAAGTTGGAGTGCTCCTGGTCACGTACAACAAGATCTGCATGTATACAGATCGATAGCAACAATGCAGGTCACCTTCCACAATCCAAAGGTCTCTTGTCACGTGCACTGGAGAACAAGCAGTTTCTGAACTGTGTCACACCTGCACGTAACAAACTGTCATCACACCCTTTGGAGCTCTGCCCTCTTTCTATCTAGCTGGTTTGTTTGTTGACACAGCTTGATTAGGTTTAACTGATACAGGTTTAGTATCCCATTTACTGCTGTTTTATTGCAATATTGCTCCTAATAATATGGTCATTGGCAGTATTTGATTTCGATCCATCATAAAATTGCTTTTGCGTTGTCTACGTTGGCCTGTCAGGGGCAAAAGCTGTTTTGAGTTAATCTCTCCTTTTAGATAGAGTACTGGAAACATGGCAACGTGACAGGGAGACTTTTAATCTGACTGACCTCTCAGGAAACCCGTGGAATTCGTGCAGTGCTGTCAGAATTCTACTCTCCAATGGAATCGATATTGGTTAGGTACGAAAGCAGCACTCCACTATATTTGCTGCTTTTTTCCCTTACGGTGAAAAATGCAGGGAACACCAAGTGCTCATTTCACTCACATTACCACGACTAGCATCATAAAAACACAAGACAAAAGAGGACGTCAGTCTACCACGCCTGTATGGCCGATCATTGTCATTTACATTGGGTATTACATGTGGTAAAACATAGCCCAAATTACTCAAAAGGACAAATCCAATAACAAGACAGGGTAGATAAAGCACTTCTTCTGATTGAAGATTCTAGAACATGGGAGCAAAATCTGAGAATTAGGGCCAGACTGCTCAGGAGAGACGTTAGGAAGGGCTTCTCTTCAAAGGGTGGTACATACTTGGAATTCTCTTCCACAAATGGCAGTGGATGGAGGATCAATGTTAGCTTTCGATCTGAGAGAGAGAAGTTTTTATTAAGCAAAGGTATTAAGGAATGAGGCGGCAAGTATATGGAGTTAGGCCACGGATCAAACACAATCTCACTTGAACAGACTCCAGGGGCCCATTCCTGTTCCAGAGAGAGATTCCCACATTTTTTAGCTCCGTAACAAACCAGGTGATAACGATGATAGCTGAAAGAAAGGCCAGGTATGTCAGCACTCCCCAACATGTGCTAATATTTGAGAGGTGCATCCTTGCATTTTAAAAATCATACATTGACTAGATTGGACAAATAAATCTGAAGCTCTGAGCAAAGAATTACAATGAACCTAAGATCAAAAATGAATGAGCAGGAGCAAAGCCTCATTAGCGCATTCCCTGACATACATCCGACACACAGACAGCATCAAGTAAACAGGACTATTCACCTGGACAAAGAGTGCGTTTCCCTCGGTTTCACTGATGGAATGGTAGCACATAAAGGGTGATCTTTCATCCCAAAGCAAGTCATAAAAATCTGTACTTTTTTTGACAAAATTTGAGAGTTCAAGAAATGGAACTCTGGCGTGATTGTGGATGTTAGAAACACTCTGTACATTTGTGCAAAATGCAACATCCTCTCAATGTGCGGGAGGAAATGTTAAATGCATCCACATTATATACTTACTGAGGGTGGTGCTTTATTTATGAGATAGACATTCAAGACAGACTCAAGTCCACATTTGAGGTTTGCAAATTCCTACAGGTCAGGTTTTAGCTTTGATTTATTGTTCCTGCGTAATATTTTAAGGTTATTCTGTAAAACACCAGAATCTATCAAGATACAGCTTCAATCTGCAGAGGCCAAATATCCACACAGTCTCTCCAACTACAACAATTTTCAGACATACAAGGAGAAAAATCCAGGTTAAGGTATGTGACAATTACTCATTTAATTTCATTCAAGTACACAAATAGATTTTTTGTGGGTATGTCTCTAAAGGAATCATAAAAGAAAGGTTGGTCACATCGTTATTTTTCAAGGACACTGTGTCCATTATAGCAAGGTGCTGGCCATTGTAGTGCTGTAGGTTTAATGATTGGAACCAATTGGCTCTGGCCTGTAGCACACCTCAGATCTAACATATTCAGGCATAGCACTGGGAACAAGGCTGGTGATAGTGGGGAGGAGACTGGGCCCAGAATCATTGAAACTGAAAACTGCAATGATGAGAGAACTTTGAAGGGAAAATTGTTCTGCACCATTACCACTTGACCATGTGGATCGATACAAAATTCTGATCTCCAGACCTAAGGTTAACTCTTAGATAGCTAGCTGAGAGCAGTGACTTGGAAGATAAGGCTTGCATATGCACAGTTTGAACCAGTGCATGGGAGCCATGAACCAGGGACAGCAGGCCCAGGTCTTTTGCAAATCAATTTTCATTGTCACATGGGCTAAGCAGGTTGTCACAAGGACCTCTGCCAGTCTTTTGGCAATCCCATTCACTTCCTCTGTGCAAGCTACAAAGAGTCAGGCCTTGATCACAATAAAATGAATGGCAGGAGGGATTGAGAACAGATGATTACAGAGTGGAGACTTCCTCTCATTCATGAACGGCTTTCCAGTTTTATATTACAACTTCACAGCTTCTTTCTTGAGGTTTGCTTAACGCCATGTCTTTCGCAGTGGCCTCTCCACACAAAACTACAAACTGAGTTCCCAAACCGTTGCAATATACAGTACAGGTCAACACCATAACATACCTACACTGGCTGCAACATGGACAACCACCGTACAACATTACAAGACCGTGCACAAGTCCTCAATTACAATTCTCTATAAGGTCACTAAACCAGCAATCAGTAATGGAGTTAAAAGAGCTGTGTACAGAAGAGGTACCATGTCAAAATGAATCATGAGGAGAGAATCCAGCTTCCCCTCTCAGATAATAACACTTATAAATTATACAATTTTCAACATTTGACATTATAGAACTTTCACTTTACATGAAGAATCAAGGACTTAAAATCTCTAATCCAATAAGTTACAAAGTTTTCTCTTAATTACAGCCTCTTTGTAAACAGCTGATTTCATTATGGTGCCAAAGAGTTTGTGTTTCAGTGAAGATGATGAACATTAGCTGATGACAGAACAAATGACAGTGAAAGGCACAGAGTGAATTGTAAATAATCACACAAACTGTACACGCTAGGAGTCGTGTCACTGGTGAACATTCACTGTGCTGCTGCTGTGCCTCTGGAAACTCAACAAACAAAAACAAATGTAAATCCACACAGCTGATGCCTTTTGATATCTTAAACCTCCATTTCAGCTGTTGTTAGGGCTATTCCGCACAATAGCCGGTGCTTCAGATTGTTGTGTGTGTGCTTCATAAACCTCTCAGTTGAGAATTGTGTGTGCATGCTTTATGAAGGGTCCTCAGATGCTCTCTACGAAACTGCCAGGGAACAGGCCCGTTTTCCCGTTACGCTGCAGGGTACCCTTGAACCAGCCGTCCTCTCGTTTCTTGTGCACAAATACAATATCGCCATCTTTTAGTTCCAGCTCAGCCTCACTCTGTGGTGGATAAGACACAACAACTCTGTACCTGTTTGTAAAAGAAATGTATGTTATTATCGAGATCTCAGCTGAAGCACTGCGCTTAATTTGGGACAGGATGACCCCATCGAGTCATTCAGCATGGAAACAGACCCTTTGATCCAACCAGTCCATGCCAAATATAATCCCAAACTAACCTAGTCCCACCTGCCCGCTCCTGGCCCATTTCCCTCCAAACCTTTCTTATTCATATACTCATCCAAATGTCTTTTAAACATTGTAATTATACCCACATCCACCACTTCTTCAGAAGGTTCATTCTACATACAAACCATCCTCGGAGTAAAATATCTGCCCCCATGTCTTATTAAATCTCTCTCCTCTCAACTTAAAAATGTGCCCCCTGGTCTTGAAATCCTCCATCTTAGGGAAAAGATAACTACCATTAACTCTATCTAGACCCCTCATTATTTTATAAACTTTTATAACACTGCCTCTCAATCTCAAGTGAGGAAGGGTCACTCAAGTGAAAAAGTCCCAGCCTATCTTTATGACTGAAACCTTCCATACCCGGTAACATCCTGGTACATTTCTTCTGAACCATCTCCAGTTTAATAATATCCTTCCTATAACAGGGCAACCAGAACTGGACACAGTATTCCAGAAGAGGCCTCACCAAGGAACTGTACAACCTCAACATGACTTCTTAAATCCTATATTCAAAGGACTGAGCAATGAAGGCAAGCATGCCAAAAGCCTTTTTAACCACCCTGTCTATATGTGACGCAAACTTCAAAGAATTATGCACCTGAATCCCTAGATCCCTCTGTTCGACAACACTACCCAAGGCCCTACCCGCTTGGACAGCATACCTAATGGAACTGTCCCACAGATGACAGCCTTACAATATGTAGGTAACTGTGAGAATTTGCAGTAGAAAACCTTGTCTTCTCAAATGTGAAGCAAATTGAGGAAAACCACACCTGGACTAGCGTGTGCAGTTTTGGTCTCCAGGTTTAAGAAAGGATATACTTACACTAGAGGCAGTACAGTGAAGGTTCACTAAATTAGTCCCTGGAATGAGGGGTTATTCAATGAGAATAAATTAGGCCCAAATTATCTCGTGTTTCAGAATAATGAGAAGCAATCAAATTGAAACATGCAAAATTCTGAAGGGACTCAGTAATGTGAATATTGAGAGACTGCTTCCATTAGTAATAGAATCTAAACCATAGGGGGCACAGGATTTAGGACTGATCATTTGGCCTGAGGTAAGGAGACATTAATTTACTCAAACGGGTGTGAATCTTAGGAATTCTCTACCCCAGAGAGTTGTGGACTTTTTTTTCTCTTTATTCATTCGTGGGATGTGGGTATTGCTGGTTGGGCCAGCATTTATTGCCCATCCCTAACTGCCCAGAGGAACAAAAACAGGAGTTCCTGGAAAAGCTCAGCAGGTCTGGCAGCAACTGTGAAGAAAAAGATCAGAGTTAACGTTTCGGGTCTGGTGACCCTTCCTCACAACTGGTTTGCAGCAACTGCTGTTTTTGTTCCTAATTTACAGCATCCGCAAATCTTTCAGTTTTTATTTGCCCACGGAGCAGTTAAGAGTCAGCCACATTGCTCCATCACTGAATGTTTAAGGCTGGGATTGACATTTTTGGCTCTTGGAAATCAAGGGATATTTGCCGGGGGGTGGGGGCGCAGGGGGAGGTGGAATGTGGAATTGAAGCCAACAGATCAGCCATGATCATCCTGTACAGAGCAACAGGCTTGACAAGCAAAACAGTGTATACTCCTGCTCTTCACCCGGTGAATGGGAAACGTTCCAAAGGCTTGTGATTTCAAACAAATCTGTTAGACTATAACCTGGTGTTGTCTGATTTCTGACCTTGTTCACCCCAGGCTAATACCAGCACCTCTACTTCACTTTCTTATTTCTGGTATTCTTGTGAACTGCACGAATACTAGAAATTAATACATCTTCAAGGGTAAGGGGTAAATGGAATTAAACTGGTCTCTCAGAGGGCAGAGATATGCCCCCTTGGCTCACAAACTGCACATTGATGTTTGATGAAACAAGTCAATGAAAAGATGTAGAAAAGCGCGTAGACTTTTACAACTACATCAGCCTGGATGTGCCCAGCAGGACGAAAGAGTAACATGCATATTTATGACTTACAGAAAAGGTCAGTGTGGGGAGGGAGCAGTGGGGTGCTGCAAAATCTGGAAGACATGCAACACACCAGTTTCCCAGGTCCCTTGCCTGAAAATATTCGGGGTACATACAGAAAAACACCAATTAAGCAGACAGCAAGCAATTAACGGCCCTGGGAGCACTAGGTTTCCTCCACCAGCTCCTGTTGCAGCTGGGATGTGTTAAAGGCAACCTCAATACAATCAGTCCTGGAGCAAAACCGCACAGAGCACTTCCAATTAAACAGCACTCTCCAAGCTGGCTAAGCTCAGTTTAAAGACCATGCAGCTAAGGTTATACGCTGGAAGTTAAGGTATGCCACTTAGTTTAACTGTGGCTCATTAATCGCCTGCCTGTTTGCCTGCATTTTACAGCTTTTCAAATAAAAACTGTACTTCATTGACTTTTTCCAAATTTTCCCTTGTGTTTGGGTTGAGATTTTATTTATTCTCTGCAAGTTTTCTTCCTTCTTAAAATCGTAAAGCACAGATCCCACCTCTGATAGCAAACTCCCTCCTTCTCACCTTCCCTTCACCCAGTTCTTTGATTTGAATCGAAACTGATTTGAAATGATTATCAATTACAATATCACAGCTTTATAAAAGCAACTCTAAAGAAAATACCCACTTTTTGTCAATGCCCAACAGGTGCATTGCAATACCATTACAAAGATGCTAAATACTGAACTGCCGTACTTGAGGAACCAATCAAGGTCAAACTGTTTTATGGTTTACTAATACACAAAAATGAGCTTCCCGGCCCTTCTTTCAGATCAAACGACAAACTGAAGTGTTGCCTCAGATAGCTGTAGACAATCCTGTGGTGCCAATCAGGTACTTCGCAATATTCATCTTTCAACCATCAATAAAAAAATGATTCAGCTACAATCAAAGATCATTCAAACTCTAAAGGAAGACACTAATGACTGAACAATTGGTAGCAAGCTCCTCCCAAGTGGAGACAATCAGGCAGAAGATACAGAAGTTTGAACACATGCACCAACAGATTCAAGAACAGCTTCTTCCCTGTTATTAGACTGCAGAACAGACCACTCTATTTCAAATCTAATGTTGATCTTGCTGTTGTGCACATCCTTCTATGCCTCACTCCGTCTAAGCCCTCTTTGATCTGTATGAACTTGTTTGTTATGATTTGCCTGTACTGCTCACAAAACTTTTCACTGTACTTAGGTACATGTGACTACAATAATTCAAATCAAATCAAACATTACTTGTACATCAAGCGGCAACATGCTTCTAGTCTAAGCACCTGAATGATGAGACAGCACGGCAGGAGGGGATAAAAAGGAAAAAAATCCCTGCACTCGGGATCCTGCTATCTTGCGGTACACCCTTTCCCTTATGTTCAAAGATCTGCAGGTAAGGAATCGGTCTGTTGAATACCATGATGAAATGTGGTGCTGTGTATTCCACCTTCCAGCACTGAGTACATTTCAGAAGCATTCTGGAATGGCCCAAGGTCATGAAGGATGCTGTATCAATGCAAATCTTTCTTTTGCTTTCTCAGACCACTGCATTTTGGCTCTGCTGCTCACTGTGATGTGCCTCACCAAACAGGAACAATGTTTGGCACAGTCACAAGCAAGACTTGAGCTGAGGTCTCAGCCAGTCTGTTCCCATGGAAACCCTTAGCTGAATCAAAATAAACCAAAGTTATTTGGCTTTGCAGTTGCTGCTTTCCTGAAAGGCCACATGGAAGTCAAAGAAAAAGGAAGAACGTAAACAAATACTATTCACAATGTTCTGAATGGTCTCCACAACTAATATTGAGAATAGCCCATAGAAGGCACCTTTGTAGAGAAATATGGTGTTTATTTGAGAATCACATCCTTCCTAAATTGTGGGGCCCAGAACTGGTTGCAACACTCCAGGCACAACTGGTATCTTATATCAGTTCAACATAATGTCCGTGCTCTTGTACTCTATGTCCCTGAAAGTAAAGCCTAGCATACTATATGTTTTATTAACCGCACTCCCCAACCTATCCTGCCACCATTAATTATTGTGTACGTATACACCCGGGTCCCTCGAGTTAGAGTTAATTAATTCTTTCACAGGACATGGCCATCCTTAATTTCCATTGAACTGAGCTGCTTGTTAACTGCTATCGAGAACAGTGTTAACAGTCAACCACTGAGGCAGATGCAGCCAGACCAGAAAAGGATGGAAAGGTTTCCTTTTCTTAAGGCAATTTGTGAACCAGTTGCGTCACCATGACTGGCAGCCAACTAGCACCTTCTCAAGGGCAACTCAATGATAGCCAGCCATCAAATGTCCACGTCCCATGAATGAATAAAAAACTTTAACACATGTTCGACAAAGCATACAGGCCTCTGGATTACTAGCCTAGTGACACTACCGTTATGCCACTATTTCACAGAGTTACAGTCAGACAGTATGGAAACAGACCTCTCGATCCAACTAGTCCATGACAAACAGGTAGCCTAAAACGAACTTGGCTCACTTGCCTGCATTTGACCCTCTAAGTCTCTTCTATTCATGTACCTGTCCAAACGTCTTTTAAAAGTTGTCACTGTACCTGCCCTCTATCACTTCCTCGTTCCATACACGCACCACCCTCTGTGTGAAAAAAAGCCCCTCGAGTCCCTTTTAAATCTTTCCTCTCTCATCGTAAACCTATGCCCATAAACCTTACTTTGTAATTTCTCTTCAGGTTCTTCCTAGTAAAATAAATCACCTCACACTTCTTCACATTGAACTTCACCTGTCTACCCATCCTATGAATTTGTCCAAGTCCTCATCAAACTCTGCACTATTCACCTCACAATTCACAACAGTTTAAGTTTTGTATTGTTCAGAAATTTTGAAATTGTGTCCTGTACACCAAGGTCCAGGTCATTTATGATTTCATGGTTACTATTACGAAGATGAGCTTTCAATTCTAGTTTTATTGTATCTAAATTTAAACTCCACCAGATGTTGATGTGGCATTTGAACCCATGCTATCAGCTCCCTTGAAATCTGGCCTTTCTGATTATTTCCTGTACTGTTAACGATTTGGAAAGCCAACTATTTTTGTGCCTCCCCAGCAGATTTCCATTTAAAACTATTATTTTTTCTTGAATCCACAGTGGTTGACCTCACACATCGCGATGTGAAACTCCAATTGTTACTGTTAAGTGCTCTCATTTTAACCTGTCAATATCTTCACCAGTTTAAGCAGCATTCTCTGTTGGGAGTGCTCAAAATTTTAAGAAGTTCTTACTGATTGAGGCAACCAGAGGACATACATTTAAATGTATCACAAAGACAATGACGAAAGGAATAAGATTTCTTTTCACTCTGCTGAAAGCACAGGTGTCCCTGCTGGAATAATGGTGAAAGCAGTTTCCAAAAAAGTTTTCAAGAAAGGAACAGAATGTTTTGAAAAACTCAGCAGCAGGCTTATAAGAAAAGTGCAGGAGAAGGCAACTAAGTGTTTGACACTGAGATGTTGGATGTGCGTGAAAGGACAAATGGCTGCCTTTTCCTGCTGGAATGTACTACAATTCTGCATCATTGGCTTCACATTCAGGCTGCAGTGATCTTTCAATCTCTCTGTTACATACTGCAGCTGAAGTTACTGACTGCCTATGCCCACAGTTGTGACGAGATTAGTGAAGAAGAGGAGTGGTGCCAATTGGGGCAGTGAGAGAGAGATATCAAGCAGCTGTCACTTTCCAATGCCTCACTACAAAACTCTCATTCACTACTGGTTTTCCCAAATGAATTTTCTGACTTTCTTTTTTCATTGCTATTGCAGTTAGGTTTCCATTTCGCATAAAAGCACCTCTGGTAGATGTGTAATTATACCACAGTGTTAATGATTAGCTATTGGTAATGGGTTTCTTTCACAATGTCTAAATATCAGGATACAAATACAGTTGGGTGATTCAGCAACAACTTCTCAGCGTAGTGTTGCCAGCAAATGATTTTGTTAATGATTCATCAGTTCTACACTGCTCTTCCAAAACTGGCAATCCACCAGCAGAGGGAAAGAGGAACATGAGAAAACCAAAAAGCGACAGATAGGGGTCAGTAACTTACGAGACGAAAGGGTTAAAGTGAAGAGGGAGGAAATGATAGACAAAGAATTACTCTTCTTTTCATGCCATTTACTAAGACTTTAGGGTTTAATTCACAGTGAAAATTCAGGATCGTGAACAAGCAAAGCTGAAACATTCTTTTAACTGGACTAATACTTCAGTGAAGATGAGATTACAGAGCAGGCAGCATGCAGTTTACATTTATCCTCCCACCTCGTACAGACTGCACCGAAACAAAGTGAAATGAATACCTTTCACATGGTATAGATTTGGATTCCAGTTGAACTGAAGCCATGGATGAACACGGTTGCCTGGGAGGAGGAGCGATGGGAACACCAGAATCCAAAGAAGCTGTTTTTCGATGGAGCGTTTCCAGCGCTGTCCCTTGAGCCTCTGTGTCCACAGGGCAGGACCCAGTTCTGCCGTGGCTGACACTTGAAGAGACTTCTGGACCCACAGCCCCCTGAAGCAATGTCTCAGAAGCTGCCTGTTCAGACTCTAAAGTGGGAGAAGATGGGGGCGAAGGCCGAGACTTGCGCTTCGTAGACGCACCCGAGAGGAGTTTCAGGAAACCTTTCTTCTCCTTCTGCGGAGTAACAAATAATGAAAGCCTGAAACAATAACTTTCAATTGTAACCAACATTTACATTGAATTGACAGATCTGAGATTTGGCAGAGAAAATATTGGTTGGTCAATACACAGCAAAAATAGACTTTCACCTGTGTGTAAAGTTCTATTAAAGACCTTTCCTTTAAATCACTCTTCACCTGCTTGCACTTTTCATCAATTTTCTTCTTGTACCTCTCAAAAGGTATCATCATCATCACAGAAGTGCCGCACAGTTCCTTGGGTGTTGTTACCACTCAAATGGCCATTTGTCACATAAAAGGGCAATTGTCAGGACTGGCAGACTTTTCTTGTAAGGGGTGTCACCATGGGGACTCACCTTCACCCTCAACAAACTACATGACTAACACAGGAGGCAGCCCTGGATGGAAAATGGGAGCAGGAAACCTAGTGAACTGTCTCCTGCCTAACCCAGCGAGGTACAGCTAGTTGCAGCTTTCTGGCCGGCATCAGATACCTTCTGTCTCGACCAAAATACCAGAGATTTAGTTTCTCTAGACGACTTAAAGAAATAAACCAAATACATTTGGTAAATAAATTCGCTAATTTGTGGGTGCCCTACTTCCTATCCTTCAGTTTAAATCGAATTGATTTCAAAACATCTCTCAACAACTCCGGATGGATAGGGCACTTGTGTTGGCATCAAGTGGAAGGAGAATCAGGAGCAGCTGTGATACTCTAACTAAATGTCAGCGTGTAGGGGCTTTTGTGATTACTCGGGTGTGGGCAATGCTGGCAAGGCCAACATTTACTACCCGTTCAAAGATGCCCTGAGGCAGCAGTGACCTACCACCTTCTTAACCTTTCTGGTTTTCTGATAATGCTTAGCTCGCAAGTGCAATTCAGGTGTTGGTTCAGAGACAACGTGCTGACATGAGTTAAACATCAGTCAAATCAGTGGGATTTCTTCCCAAAAAAGGACAGAAATGATATCACATTAAATCGCCCACTTCATGACCATGTTTACCAGTATCAGAGTTTTATTGCTCTGTCTTAAAAACTGGATTAAAATTCGCAAGCTACCACAATGTGATCTGAAACTATTTTCTATGCATTACTGCAGTAGCATTTGGTGGGAATTAAACTCGACACGCCGCTTGCACAATCTTTTAGTCATAATGCACCAAGGGATATTTTGACTGCAAGCTTAAAGGAGAGGAATGTTTGGGAAAGGAAGTTTGGAGAGGAGGTATTGGTTAAGTTAGTTAAATCTAGACAGCAAAATGAAGTTATGAACACAGTCACTCGGACAACACTGTGCTACAACGCTCACTTATCAATTAGCATGTTCCGTTTCACAGTTTGAAAATCATTGAAAGAATAAAGTTTCAATGATCATGTTCATTTAACTTTAGTTTAGCCACTTATTAGATTGTCCTTGCAATTAACAGTTCCTTTCACCACTCCATTCAAACAAAGCATCTTACAGAAAACAGCTTCCAGCTTACACTGACCATTGAGACTTGGGGTAAGATAACATATTAGTCCTTAAAAACACATTCCAGGACCAAGTAGCCAAGATACACTGTCAGGAAGGTGGTCTGCTCTCAACAGCACCCCTGTTCTCTACCCTATCCTTCCAGACTTCGACAGCCTTCCTCTGTCAAATGTTCCCATACTTCCATCTCCCTTTGCTGATATACTTTAGCCATTTTTACTGACTCTGGACCCAAAGGAAGACAGCAGCCAGCGCAGGTCATTCAAGCCTTTGATCCTGCTTCACCATTCAATAACATGATCCTTCAAAGCCTAACCAACATCTACCAGGCACAAGCAAACTAAAAGATGACAGAGCTGAGAAAAGGGGGCATTTTCAGGATGGCAGCCTGCAAATACTGGAGTGCCACAGGTGCTGGGCCATAATTATTTACAGCATATATTAATGACGTGTGAGGGAAGTGACAGCATTAAGCCAACTTGGATGACTCAAAAGTTCGGTGGGAAGGCATGTGATAAGGATGACACAAAGAGTCTACAGCAAGATATAGACAGGCTAAGCGACTGGGCAAAACATTTGGCAGATAGAATATAATATGGGAAAATGTAGGCTCTGCACTTTGATAGGAAGAACAGAGCAGCTATTATTTAAATAGGGAAAGAATGGAGAACTGAAGAAGAGTGACCAGACTTGAAATGCTGACTCTGCTTTCTTCCCTCAGATGCTGCCAGATCTACTGATTTTCGCCACCAATTTCCCTTTTTGTTTCATATCTCTAGCACCCACATTTCTTCATTTTATTTCAGCTATGTATGGCAGTGAACATTAAATATGAGTGAACAAGACTGGTTTTCCATCAATTGACAATGTTGGTCATCATTACTCTCGATTCCAGATTTTTATTGAATTCAGTCTACCACGTTCAATGTAACATTATGATTTCTTTACAAAGTATCTTGAGATTTAGGAAAGGAATTGTTTTCTTCCACTTTGGTGAACAAGTTCAAGTCACCACCAGAACATCACCCAGGGCTTTGGATTAATTGTGCTAATACCACAAGGTCATTATCTCCCCTGGAGTGTGATGGAATACTCCCCACTTCCCTGGATGAGTGCAGCTCCAACAACAGTCAAGAAGCTTGAACAATCCAGGACAAAGCAGCCCGCTTGATTGGCATTACATCCATAAGAATCCACTTCCTGTACCGATGCTCAGTAGCAGTTGTGTGTACTGACTACATGATTTGGTGCAGAAATTTACTAAATTTCTCTAGACAGCACCTTCTAAACCAGGAACACTACCCCTCAAGAGGACAATGGAGGCAGGTAGATGGGAATACCATCACCTGCAAGTACCCCTCCAAGCAATTGACCATCTTGACTTGGAAACAATTCACTGTTCCTTCAGTATTGCTGAGTCTAAATCCTGTTGTTCCCTCATGGGTCGACCTACAGCACAGGGACAGCAGCGGTTCAAGAAGACAGTTCATAACCACCTTCTCAACAGCAACTAGGAACAGGCAATAAATGTTGGCCCAGCAATACCCACCTCCCGTGAATGAATAAATACATGCTTGACATCATCCAGGACAAAACAGATTACTTGATGGCACTCCGGCCTCCACGTTCAACATTCACTCCCTCTGTCACTGAGACACAGCTGTGTGAAATGGCTACCAGAAGCAGTACAATAACTCACCAAGGCTCTTTCCACATTACCTTCCAAAACTGGGATCTTGACTAGCTAGACAGAACAAAGGCAACAGATGCATGGTGACACTATCTCCTGCAAGTTCCCTTCAAGTCGGACACCATCCTCATTCGGGAATTATATCACTGTGTCTTCATTGTCACTGGGTCACATCTATGACGTCCTTTCCTAAACAGCACCATTTGTGCCCCTTCCTAACATGTTGCTGTCAGAGAAGGGCACCATAGTGCCATTGATGCCCCTTCTGAAAGGCGCTGTCGGTGTCCTTTCCACAAATGGATTGCAGTGGTTTAAGACAACAGCTCAAAACCACTTTCTCAAAGGCAATTAAGGATGAACAATAAATGTAGACCGAGTCAGTGACACGCACATCCTTGAACATATAAAAAAAATTATGGTTGATTGTTGTATCAATTCCACTTTCATGTCTCCTCCTCAAACCTAGACTCGCTCGATCAGAATTCATTTCTCTTAGCCTTGAATAAATTAAATAAGCCAAACTCCACTGTTTTCTGAGGAAGAGAATTCAAAAGAATAACAATCTACAGAGAGAAGTTCTCCTCACCTCAGTCTTAATGTGGACTCCTCTTATTTTCTAAGTACATTCCCTCATTCTAACTTCTCCATGTCTATTGATCAAGTCCCTCCAAGATCTTATACGTTTCAGTAAAATCACCTCCCATTCTTCTCCATGGTTATGGTAAAGGTTCAACATGTTCACCTTCTCCTCATAAAATTCCCATTCACCCTAAGAATGAGTCTATTCAACCTTGTCTGAACTGTTCCCAGCGGGAATATATTGTTTTCAATTGAGTAGACCAAAAACTATGCACAATATTCCAGACTCACCATCAGTTTGTGTAGCAACAGTAAACCTTCCTATTTTTATATTCCATTTCCCTCGCAATGAATGCCGAAATTCCATTTGACTCCTAATTATTTATTTTATTGTAGTGGTAAATGTAACTGGATGAGTAATTCAGAACCTCAGGCAAATGTCTACAGAAAAATGTGTCGAATCCCACCACAGCAGAGGATGAAATAAAAAAAAATCTGGAAATAAAAAGCTAAACTGAAGGTGACCAAGTAAGCCCTGTCCAATTGTTGTAAAAACCCATCTGGTTCATGATGTTCTTTCTTTGATGGGCCTTCATGTGATTCCTGACCCACAGCAATGTGACTACAAGAAGTGTTGACTACAGTTAGGGATGGGCAATAAATGCTCAGCTAACCAGTGATGCCCACATCCCATGAATGATTTTTTTAAAATCATATCAAAAGTCTTGCAAAAAATTAATTAGTTAAAACACAATAAATTAGTTGAACAACGTAAAACTAAGTTGCATGAGGAGTCCACGTACAATGAGAAGCTGGGTGGTTTTAACCAAGGCCTATCATAACAAGCACTGTTCAGTATTCAGATGAAATGGATTGACAAATAAATTCATAAATAAAGTCGAAGATGTTCGGCCCCAGTGCCTGTTTTGTCAGAGATATTGTTGGTGGAACTCAAATGGTGTAATAATTGTCACAGGTTAACTGATCATCAAATCCTGTGTGAGAGGAGGGAGAGTTAAACTCTACTCAAGTTGTGAAAGATTTTAGAAACTGTATTCAGTGCCATATGTGCTTGGGAATCGGCCAACAAATCTGAGACTTAGCTTTGCTGTATTGGCTATTTGCAGTTAACTAAAAGGTTCTATTGAAGACAATTCAGTTGGTAATTTTGGCCTATTCTAAGCTGATTTTGGTTAGGCTGTTACAGTAAAAATTTTAAAGCAAGTACTATTATACATTTGCTTCTTCATTGGGTTCTTTTGCACATCCTTACTCTCCACGGGGGTGGAGGGTGGGGTGGTGGGGTGTAAAATTTCTGTCATGCAACCTCTCCTGCCTTTCACTCTATCACAGATTTTTCCCTTTGAGGGGTGGCATCATGGTTCAGTGGTTAGCGGTGCTGCCTCTCAGCACCAAGGACCTGGGTTCAATTCCACCTTCAGGCAACTGTCTGTGCGGAGTTTGCACGTTCTCCCAGTGTCTGTGTGGGTTTCCTCGGGGTGCTTCAGTTTCTTCCCACAGTCCAAAGTTTAGGTGGATTGGATTGGCAACGGGAAATGCCAGGGATTGGGCAGGGGGGAGGGTCTGGGTGGGATGCCCTTCAGACAATCGTTGTTGACCCAACGGGTCAAATGGCCTGCTTCCACACTGTAGGGAATCTATGATTCAATACTTTTCTCCCCTTTCTCCTTTATATTCTGAACTTGCATAATCCCAATTGATCTCTAACATCATCCACTTCTGATAAAACCCGTTAATCGCTAACGTCATTTCGTTTGCCAGAAAGATTTCCAACTCAGAATGTTTTCCAGCATTTTCTGCTTTTTCTTTTTAAGTTCAGATTTCCAGTCCTTGTAAATATTCTTGCTTTCGCTCCTAACGTAGCGTTGTATTAGAGGATATGCCAAAGTCTGGGTTCTTTAGAAAGGAACCATGATTCAGGAATCACCAACCAGTAACAACCTGTCCATTTAGAGTCATAGAAACATACAGTCATGCAGAACAGAAGCAGCACTTTAACCCATCGAATCCTCGCTAACCTGCCTACAGTATTCGCACTTTCCAGCTCTTGGCATGTAATCTCGAACTTTATGATATTTCAAGTGCTCGTCCACATACTTTTTAAAGGCTGTGAGGTTTCCTGCCCGAGGCAGTGCATTCCAGATTCCCAATACCCTGAGTGAAGAAGGTTTTTCTGAAATCTCCTCAACTTCCTGCTTTACACCCTAAAATTATGACCCTACTATTGGCTTTTCGACTAAGGGAAACAGCTGCTTCCTATTCCATACCCTCAATCTCACGCATGTCTATCAGGTCCCTGCTCAGCTTTCTCTGCTTGAGAGAAAACAGCCCCAGTTCATCCAGCCTTTGTTCATGGCTAAACTGCTCCAACCTAGACAACATCCTGGTGAATCTCCACTGCAACAGATCCCCCAAACTCCAGTGATATCACATCCTTTCTGTAGTGCGGCAACCAGAACTGCACATAGTAGTTCAGCTCTGCCCTACCAAAGTTTTGGGATACCTGTATTTATGCAGCACCTACATACCTGAAAAGTACTTTACAACCAGTAAAGTGTTGGCTCCTTTTGAGGTATAGTCACTGTGGTGATGTAGGGAAATATAAAACATCTTGCACAGAGCAAGTTCTTACACACAACCTTGTAATAATAACTAGATTTTTATAGTTAAGGACATTCAAATAATGTTCAGAACCAGCTTTTCTTTGAACTCGTGCACCTGGGATGTGAGGTCTGATGTGAGGCAAGACAAGACCTCAGTTTAACATCCCACCCAAAAGTTGAGAGCTCTGATGGTGCAGCATTCCCTCAGTACTGCATTAAAACACCAGTCTGGATTTTTGTACTCAAGTTTCCAAAGTGGGGATTTAACTCCAAACCTTCTGATTCAGAGAGGTGTGCGCTATTTACACAGCCGTGTTCAATAACAAATTTAAGAAAAAAAAAACCACCTCTCTCACCTTTTCTCTGCTCTCCTTTTCAACTTTATTAATAGTTGAGGCTGTTGCAGATGTGGTGGCAATGCCCAATGAATCCCCCTCTAGAGTGGTGGCACTGATGTTCGGAGGGGTTACAGCAGCAGTTGCTGAGGTCAGAGCGACGGTGGGTCTCGTTGCTGCAGGAGCGGTGACGACGGAGAAAGGGCTGACGGCCTGCTGCGGGTGCTGCGAGGGTCCGACCTGCTGAGCAGCCACTGTGGCGGCAGGGCTGGGGGAAGCTGGGCTGTGAGCCTGGATTGGAGTCACTGCCGCAGTCGGTCTCTCCTGGCCCTGGGCAGCAGCTGTTGGTTAAAAAAAAGTCACTGCGTTAATGTGACTGAATTACAAAGCAATAGCTGTGAAATTGGGGCGGGGGAGTGGAAATTTAATAAAAGTGCTCAAAATTATGGAGGATTTTAACAGAGTAACTAAAGACAAACTGTTTCATTAGTAGGAGGGTCAGAAGACACAGGCCACAGGCAATTGGTGAAAGGCCAGTGAAAGGTAAAAAGCATTTATTTTATACAGTGAGTTGTAATCTGGAATGTGTTGTCTGAAAGGATGGTAGAAGAATATCCATTGGAGAACTGGATGGGTTTTGAAAAGAGAAATTTGCTGGGCAATGGGGAAAGAACAGGGAACTGAACTGAATTGGTTACCCTACCAGGCATCCTTCCCAAAGTCTGATTCCATGATAAAATTCTCAAGCAAAAATGCAACTTGGGAAAAATCGTCCCGTCAGCATCCAGATCCATAACATCAAGCCAGTAATAACAAAACTAAATGATGAGATCAAGAGAAACTTTTTTATGTGCGTGCAGCGGGTGGGGCTGGTTGGTGGACGTCAGAACAAGGGGGTACAACCTTAAAATTAACATTCAGGGATGATGTTTCCATTCAGAAGCTTGCAGACTTCCAAACCGTTTCCTGTACAAAGCCAATAAGGCTGCCTATACATAGATCTTTTCATAACTGAGACTGCTAAGGCTTTGATAGGTGAGGAAATAAAACCATAGGGAGAAAGGAGAGGAAATGGACTTCAGAGATCAGTCCTGATTCAACAGAGTGACAGAACAGTGACTGGGGGACCATGGTCACTGTCTAGTCCTAAGTTTGTAATAGTCAACCTGCTGTGGAAAAACATAACCAATTACTGGTACTTTGATTTAAAACAAAGACAGGAGGGAGCACATCATGCAATGTACACTGCGAAAATATCAAGAGTTGATCAAAGATTCTGCGTTTCAGAAGAGCACTGCATATTGATCCTGGTGGAGACTAAATGTCACAGGTGAAGAAAATGCAAGGAGGGAAAGCCAAAGAAGGTCGCTGTTGCCTTGCTACCCTACTCAACACAACGCAACCAGCGGTTTGAATAAGACTGATAAACGGCCACAATAACACTTGGCTGAACTCACCCGTCCGAACAGCGTTGCGAGCCTGGTTAACTGTCATCTGACCAGCCATATGCATCAGAACCTTGGCCTGTGGGTTGGTAGCCTGTACATGGGCCACTGATATCACTGCGGTGGGGATCGGCGGGGTCGGACTGACTGGTCTGCTGAAGTCTACGCCATTGCCGGGAGATTTGGGCTGGGGTGTCACTGCCGGTACAGGCACCACTGTGGTCACTCCTCGGCCAACTTGCGCTGTCACCACTACTGGCAATTTTGACTGCCCTGCAGCAGCGGGCGCCCTGCAAATAATTTCAAATCGCAAGCTGAGTACGAGCACGAGAGAGAGAGAGAGAGAGACAGAGACAGTGCGTGCGAGCAGAGTGCGAGACAGAGAACGTGCGCGAGCAGAGCGCGAGAGACACAGAGCGCGCGCGCAAGCAGAGCGCAAGAGAGAAAGAGAGAGCAGGCAAGGAGAAAAAAGAGAGAGGAGAGAAAAGCACTGTGAACATTTCAGATGTGTGCCTTCTATCGGATTGATTAAGAAGCCTCCCTTTTCACAAAGGATTCTATCGATCCCTTCTGCTGAACGGTTCTTTCTTAAATTCACTGTTAGTTGAAACTGAATTAATTTAAAGAGTTGTATTTTTTAATTAGCAATGCAGTTGTGAGCTAATCTGCCAATTAAGAAAAACAAATCAAGCAACATGCCAGAGCTGCTACCCTGCCAGGATCACAAATTTACAAGGTTATGTGCTGGGCAAACTGCAGCTCCAATTTCTACCCACCTGCAGAGTGGCTTTGATAAGCAAGCTGTCCATGCTACAACACATCAGACACACAGCTTTATGTCTGTCACAGCATCTGATCTTCAGTGAGACAGAGCTCAAAAAGGGCCAGAGGCATGTTACAGCGACAGAAACAAATGCAATCCCCTCTTTTAAATCAGCTCCCCTCATTTTCTAGGTATATCAAGGTACAGCAGAAGGTCCGTCTGCACATTATGCAGAGCTTCCCATTGGGGTTAACTGGAACGCATGAAGACAGACAAGTAGAACGATGCCAAAGAGACAAAGGGAGAGACGGGACGATTGCACAGAAAAAGGCTTTTAAGTGGTTTCTTTTAAGGGAGGGAAGAATTTTCAGAAGACAATGTCATTTAAGGAATTTTGCAAAAGGAAAGAGGTAGGACAAAAAGTCTCCCTAAGTAGGAATAGATAGGCAAAGCAGATTGATGTCAACGAATTTGCAACAAACTAATTCAAGGATTTACTGAGAATTGTTGAAAAGTGACACATTTTGTTGAAATCTTTCTTCTAGCATTTATCAATTTGCAAGCAACACATAAAAATCTTGCAAGTCAGAAGTTATTTTGCAAATCTAATGGAACAATCCAGAAATTGAGGGAAATCTGAAAGCTTCATAACAACATATCAACTATCCCACTAGCCGCATCTAAGATCTGAGGATGAACTCCAAATTGTGAATTCCCCATGGCAACACCTTTACCAATCCAAGTGCATTTGTCAAGAAATTAGTACTCTCTTCTTATACAGCATAAAATGCTGTTTTCCCCTGACATTGGTATTTCTTACAAACTGCCCTGATGAATTCAAGACAAGATATCTTTCTTCAACAATACCAAAGTTCTCTATCACCAACTGATTTGGTGAGAGGACACATGGCTCAAAACGAACTTCAGTCCAACATATAAACATACAAAGAATCTTTTCCCATTCTGACTCCAGTCCTTAAATGCACTGCCAGAATGTGGGCAGGTTTTTATTATAATCCAGAACAACTTGCTTACTAATCCAACTCAGACTGGAGCAGTTTATTTGTTGGATGTTTTGCTTAACAATTTCATATAACATCAAATATTTTGAACTAGGTTCAGGGGACTGACTTACTGACCTTGTTACAGGAGCCATATAGTTCCCAGGAAAAACACCGATTTTGCCTGTGTGCATAGATGTTCCCTTGAACCATCCATCTTGACAGCGTTCAAGCACAAGAAATATCTCTCCCTTTCGCAATTCAAGCTCATCTTCTTTGCGGGGAGTGTACGGATATAAAGCAACATACCTACAGAAATAGGTAAATGATCAACAACTTTGACCAATTATAGTAGAATGCAAACTGACAAAACAATGGCTGAATCCAAACTATGTATCATTTAATATTGAAATATGCAAAATGTTTTTGCATTTATTCACCTCTAAAACTGATTTGGAGACATCTAGCTTCCCCAGGAAGTGATGCACATCGAGCATGCACTGTGTTTTGTATTAAGGAGACACTTTAATTCTAGCACAAGGAATGCAATGTAAGGGTGTCCTGACCAACAAACTTGCAGGTAAGCAATGAGGTGAAGAATTTGCTGTAATCAACATATTACTGGAAAAATAAACCAGGATGTGATCCACTTACGATCGTGTTCAAAGCTAAGGCCATATTCATGAGATAGTCACAACATTTCTAAGACTCCATGACTCTAAGAAACCTACAACTGGGTGAAAATCATAAGACAATTCAGGCCATTGTGTCTGCTCTGCCATTCAATCATAGGTGATAAGTTTCTCAACCCCATTCTCCCACTTCCTCCCGTAACCTTTGGTTTCCCTTAACAATCAAGAACCTATCTATCTCAGTCTTAAATATACTCTATTACCTGGCCTCCACAGCCTTCTGTTGCAATGAATTCCATAGATGCACCGCTCTCTAGCTGAACACATTTCTCCTTACCTCCGTTCTAAAGGATCTTCCCTTTACTTTAAGGCTGTGCCGTCAGGTCCTGGTCTCTCCTGCCATTGGGAGCATCTTCCCAACATCCACTCTGACCAGGCCATTCAGTATTCTGCAAGTTTCAATTAAACCCGCACCACTATCCCCCCCACACCCACCACCACCATCCTTCTAAACTCCATTGAGTATAGACCCAGAATCCTCAAACGTTCCTCATATGTTGCGCCTTTAATTCCTGGGATCATTTTTGTGAACCTCCTCTGGACCCAGTCCAGGGCCAGTACATCCTACCTGAGGTATGGGGCCCTCAATGGGGCTGAAATGATTTCCTTTTTGAGGGGTTTTAAGTTGAACAAGAAAAAGGGCAGTATGTTTGCAAAATGCATATCCGATAGATATCTTGTCAGAGAATGGGCTAGCTCACCCTACTCACTGTAATCAGAGTTCATTATGGGTTTATGAGATGATGAATGGATCAGATTTGCATAATCTCCCTGCTATAGCAAAGCTGTTGTTAAACTTGAAAGGATTCAGAAAATATTTAGAAGGAGGTTGCCAAGTTTGGAAGGTTTGAGCTACAGATACAGGCTGAATAGGCTGGGAGCATCGGAGGCTGAAGGATGACCTTATAAAGGTTCATAAAATCATGAATAGCCAAGTCTTTTTCCACAGGTAGGGGAGTTCAAAATTAGAGGACGTACGTTTAAGGTGAGAGGGGTAAGATTTAAAGGGACCTAAAAGGCAATTTTTTCACACAGAGGATGTTGCATGTACGGAACGAGCTGCCAGAGGAAGTGGTGGAGGCTGGTACAATTACAACATTTAAAAGGCACCTGGATAGGCGTATGAATAGGAAGGGTTTAAGAGGGATATGGGCCAAATGCTGGCAAATGGGACTAGATTAATTTAGGATATCTGGTCGGCAAGGATGAGTGGATTGAAGGGTTTGTTTCCACGCTGTACATCTCTATGACTCTAAATAAATTCAATAGGGAATTCAGAAGATCTTTTTTACTTAGACTGGTTGGAAAGTGCTTGAGGCAAATAGCATAAATGTATTTCACATGACTTGATTAAGTGCACGAGGGAGAAATATACAGAAGGATTTGGTGAAATAAGAGTGAAAGAAAATAGTCTGTAAGAGAACACTCAAATGGAACATAAAGATGAAGACAGTCCAGTGGGATGGATGGTTCACTGCTATGTTGTAAATTTCTTATTTTATTGGGGACTCCTGCCAATTCCACAACAAGAAATTATTGCAGTTTTAAGCAAGTAAAGAGTTCATTCAGTGGAGTGTGCCCAACACCGAAACACTGTGAGCTCAACATTATTTCATTTAAGCAACTCTTCCTGAGGTTTCTCTCTGCCTGGTTGTGTTCTGTAATGACAAAGTAAACTACAAATCTTGTCATTAAGAACGTCCATCTCGATGAGGAAACTTCAAAGCAACTTGCTCTGAAAATCCTGCTCACATTTTGACAGCTGTGACAAATTACACCACAGCAGCTGAGACAATCCACAACATTCTGGATCAACCAAACTGCAACATTTGAAAGAAAAGTTAACTTGCTCCATGTCCCCAATGTTAATGGATCTTTTGAAAAAAATTCCAGGATGTGAATCCGGATCTTGGCCAGAAAGTAATCGTGGGTTATACTCTACCTGCACACCAAAGTTCGCTGAAACACATCTATTAGTTTTCAAGATTAATTGTTTACAAATTAACAAAAGGGAGAAAAACATCATCACCATCCACTTTTAATGGTGGAACTAAAAATAATAGTCTGCTATTTGGAAATGCAAACGCAAATTTCTCAACAGGAGGCAAGTAGCAGGAGGTTAGGGACATCGCTAATAACATTCATTCATCTTACATATTTGGCCGTGCCTGAGGCCTTGGATGTGCCACCTGGTCTGCTGGTGCCAATGCTGGCCGTGGAGCAGTAGATGCCGAGGTGGTAACGACGGCATTCGAAGGTGGTGGTGGTGGTAGCGGTGGGTGATTCTCCTGCAGAAACACAAGACGAGTGTTAGGGCTGGATATTGACGCAGGTCAGAAACAGATTACTACAATATGCCAAAGTTTATGCTCAACAAAAATCTTCTGCTACTTAGTTCAATACAGGAACATGATTCCTTCCATTCTGTCTCACATACTTAACTAACTTTTCCTTGAATGCAATTAGGCTTTCTTTTTGAAAAATGTTTTGTGGTTCCACAATCGATTCATAGACCCGAACAGATTGGTTAGTACCTACTTAAGACTAGCATCAAGTTTTGGAAACCTTATCTCTGTGTACCCTAGCAAAATTTTTCCAAAGTTTTGAGCACCTCTATGAGCCCAACTGTGGGCCTTCTCTATTCTAGAACAGCTACAACAAACTGGATCTGAAGCAATCACGATTTGATGGGAGAGGCTTGGGTGACTCTCACATCTTTTTCTGGTCCTTCTCTACATGTTTATCGCCGAATTGGGTGAAGAATATTTGTCTGTGATTTTGCATGCATGTCTGTTTTGGAGAAGAAAGCTATGGAGGCAATATGTGCAGGTTTTACAGCCTGCCAGGATAGAACAGATTGAAAGTAGACCAGTTTTGGCCTTCTGCTGTCTTTCTTGGAAACAAAGAAATTTCACAGCACAGGGTAATTAGCTCATTTTATCTCTGTTCTCTTATTCTGCCTTTCCAAAACTGACTTAATTTTCATTCTCCGGCATTCTTGATTTCCCTTGGAAACTGAATGATCATGGGCTGTGAGGGAAGGGGAGCAGGGAGTGATGGGCAAATGTTGTGGTGACTGTGTATGCAATGCGAAGACAGGTGCCACATGATAGGTCTCTGTGTACTCAGCCTCATACTGAATGTGCCAGCAACTCGTTGAAAGGCGCTCACCATGAGAAAATAAGCTTAATTTTCAAACTGAAATACTTCTCAGTGCAAGATGTTCAAGAACATTTAGAAAGCAGGTTACAGACCTACATTCTTTTAAAAAAAAAAGGACAACAAAATGTACTGGTCCACTGTTGGACACCAGTTTGCTGTAATATCTTCCAGGTCTTGGAGGTAATTTAGCTACTGTTCACCCAGAATTGCAGCCTCCTTTCTAAACATTAAAGCAGAAGATAAAAAATGAATACCTTTGACGCATTCTCCTCTAAAAGAGATTCACATGTAATTTTAATGAGCCTGAGAACCCCCATTGCTACACTGATCATTTAGGTAACATCCTACTTCAGTCACAATACTGCTTAAAATCCTGAATGCTGCCAAGCTTTCAACAAATGCACATTCTTATGCTGAAGTTTCCAATGAATTAAATTTTTAAAGAGTGCTGAATTTTGTATCAGTGAAAAATGAACTCCTGAAGTACATTAGGGAGAACTAATGATATATTTTCCATTCATTCCTCCTGTCTCCCGAGGAAATCATGAGAGGAACCACCTCTCCATGTCTGTTACCCATTCTTCTAAGTCTTCTCTGCACCATCTCTAAGGCCTTGAAATATTTCAAAAAGTCTGTTGCCCAGAGTTGAACAAAATACTCCAGCTGAGAGCTAACAGTGATTTCAAAGGTGTTGCACAATCTTATTCATACAGGAATAGAGTACAAAGTAGGAAAGGCAAGGGTCCCACAGGTTTATCATATTAAACAGTTTTTTTCAATTTGTCCTGCCACCTTCAAATATTCCCCAATGTACATATTCCCCAATACCTTTCTGTTCATGCACCTTTAAATAGTGCCATTTCGTTCATAATGCTTTTCCTCATGGTTTATACCAAAATGGATCACATCACACTACTCTGCATTAAATTTCATCTGCAATGCATGTTTATTTCACCAGTAGATTGTTCTATAGTGTATTGCTACACAGCTCATTGCACACTACATTTCTAAGTATGCACCATCTGTAAGCTTTGAAATAATGCCTTATACATCCAAGAGAACATTCCTAATCGTTGTATTGAACATTCCAGTGGAAACCCTGGGAATCTCCACTGTAAACCATCCTAGCTCACAAGCACATTCTGAACTTTTTTTAAACTATTGTCCCTATCTTTCAAGTTTTGTGGGTTTTATTTTTGCTTATAAATCTATTGATTAATACAGAACTACATGGCTTTTTTTAAGTCTACATTACAGATCACACACACTGCTTTCATTAAGTTGGTCTGCTACTCCAAAGAACTTAGTTGGGAAAATTGAATTTTGCTTCAATAAATCCACACTGACTTCATCATTCAGAAAAGTAGGAACTACTAAATTAAGATTGTTCCAGGCTGTTGTAATTTCCCCACCACTAACATTAAGCTGAGTGGCCACAGCTGCCAGGTTTATCCTTCTCTTTTCAAGCAATATTTACAAATTGGAGAGGAATTGGACTCTCATTTTGGTTAAATTGGAGAGGAAAGGCAAGTTTCCTTCCCTGAAGGACACCAGCCAGCCAGTTTTTAACAATACTGGCTTTTACTAATACTAACAAGTTTTTTGATTTAATAGTCAATTCACATTCTCAAACTATTTAACATCTTTTTGAATTATTTACCTAGTCTTCTGGAATATCAAAATAAAACAAAGAACTGCAGATACCAGAAATCTGAAACAAGAACAGAAACTGCTGGAATGGTTCTGAAGAAGGGTCACTGGACCCAAAACATCAACTCTGTTTTCTCTGTACAGATGCTGCCAGACCTGCCGAGTTTTTCCAGCAATTTCTGACTTGGCTTCTGGAATGCCAATCCACTAAGTTTTAATGCCAACGAAACATGTTGAAAATGCAACATATTATAATGTCAGTTCAGTCAAAGAGTTGTGGAAATAAAAGTGAGAAGCTTATGACCTTTAAGGTAATAGACGACTGTGTGGAACATGCAAGCGTCCTCCAGTCAAGTTTATCATTACAGAGATTTCAGATTTACTCAATTATCTCAGTTGCTAACCTAAGTATTATTAACATGAGTAAAAATGTAACCCAATGCAACAAAATATTTTCCCTTAAAGTGTAACCTAACGCACATCCAAATTCAAATGTTCCACACCCAACAGACAAGGATGAAACCTATCCATTCCCCACCTGGCAGCAGGCTTTGATATGCAACAAAGTGAAAGCCATGACACACTGATCACAATGAGTGGCCTATCATTGTCCCTTTCAATGCCTCTATTTACATGCAGAAGGCTTTGAAGTTACGCCTTCGTGAAGGTCAGCAATCAGACCTGAATAATGGTGACTCATGAATAGCTGCAATCCTTTGTCATGCCACTTTGTCTACATGAATGAAGCTCTTTTAATAAGAATAGTTCAGTTATAGTTGCTGATTAATGTAACCACTTGCTGATAAAGCACAGATTTCCATCTCCACTCCTCTGCACACTGACACTCCTGGGAAATCTGACACACTAATACAAATGTGCGCACACACACCACCAAATTACCTTGCAGGAAGCACGAAGCCAGGCATGAATGTGTCAATTGTAACCTTTAAACATTGCAAAGAATTCAAATCACAAAGATATGAAATTAACAGGTATGAAAAGACCAGCTGGGTCCATTAGCCTGCCCCACACTGTTATGGTTGGAGCATCACAACTAAATACTTCTTCCCTTCCACCCACACAGCACCCTACTGCCACTCAATCTCCTGGGACTTCAGAAAGAGAAAAACAGGCAGGAAAATTTCTCTCCAATTTCCTCAAGAATCAAACCGTCCAGGAGAAACCACAAATTTTTAATATTCTCATGCCAGCAAAGTATAAAGCTATGTGATGCAGATATTTTGCTTACGGTTCCCACTTTCTGCATTATTTGACAGCAACCGAAATCAGACACCATGTCAATTGATATATACATTTGATGAAGCAGGTATTCTGCATCCAAAGACACTTAGCTTAAAAAACTTGAAAGGGACATGTTAGTTTTACTTTGAGACTTGTATTAAAAATCTCCCTCGATTTTGCACTGTTCTCAGTCTGATCACCCACACTATCCTTGTTACTGATGTTCTGAAATAGGCGACAGAAGTCCCCAAGTCCAATAAATTGATTCACCCAGGACTTCAGCACTGTCAATTTGTCTTGTAAAACGTTTGCTTGAAAAATTAATCTTATAGACAGAAGTATATCTGCACTGAGATGCTGTTAGAATCTCCAAGTTCCTGCAGGAGAGAAACCCGTGTAAATCAATAAATTGTCACTTTATTGAAGTATCAATCGGAACGTACCTTGCATTCATTTGTGGCTTTCATTCAGCAACAACAATTTTTGTTACTGTTGGCTGCCAACATTACCCAATGCCAGTGTTGATTCTTGGCATCAAGAGATGTCTGACAACAAGGCACCTGGAACTCCAGACTGTGCAATCTCGGAATTCTAGTTCCTTAAGCTTTCTGTCCAAGTCTACTGGGTCAGGAAATAGAGCACGGTCTTACTGGTGTACATCACAAACCATATGTACATTTGACATGGATGGCTCACCTTCTTGCCATGACTGTAATCTGCCATTTTTGACCTAACTCCGACGATTCTACAACACCATGTCTTTAATTACAGGCTAAAACAGCGCACTAAATATTTAACTGGCCAATGTGAAGCTTTGTATAAATTCAAAATCACTTAACTCTTGCACTTGATGTTGTATTTATAAAATCTAAACTGCATTGGTTGCCCATCTCAAATTGTCTTTGAAGATCAGGAGGAATGACAGATTTCCTCACCTACAAGATAACAGTACGCCAATGGTTAGACTATCACCATTAGACTAGTTTTTTTTTTAAAAATTCCAGATTTTTGTTTCAATTTCACCATCTGTCATGGTGGGATTCAAGCCCACCAATAGCCTAGGGCTCTGGATTACTAGTCCAATGGTATAACGCCTAATAATAACACCTCCCCTTCGTGTTCTATCATTTTGTAATAAAATCCCAATGATACAGCACAAGAGGCAGCTGTTTGGCCTATCCTGGCTCTTTGGTGAAGCTTCCTTGCACATCCCACATTGCCTTGTAATTTATCC